AGGGTTTAGGGGGATCAGGGTTTTGTCTAAGCTGTAGGCTTGAGGGTTCAGGTTGTGGGTAGTACTGTGGGGCCTGTGACACTCAGGCTTAGGGAGCCTGATCCATATCATCTGTGGCTTTTATGGGGGCTGTGCGCATGTCTTCTGTGCACCTTGTGGTGCACGCGCATCTTTTGCTCCATGCTCTCGCTGATACTTACTCATGACTTATGAATTCTGCCCAGGAGGGGCCAGTGACATGACCGCCCCAAATGTGCGGGTGAAGACGCCTGTGTTTTTTCAATGAATACAGGCATTGCATACATCTACCTCTGCCGTGGGTGCAAATCCTATCCGCAGAAGCGTTCTTGAAGACTAGCAGTTTCATTAGACTTTCTCTGCTGGCCGTATATCTTATGCTGCTGCACTAGGACTAAGGGAGTTGTCGTGGGAGTTTGGGGCTGCCTGCATGGTCAGAAACTTACATGTTGGAGACCCGCAACTACTGGGAGGCCCTGACATGGGGCCTCCGGAGGAATCCATCAGGGACCTCCAAAGGGGGACCTCACTTTGGGGAAACTCAAATGTTGTAGATTCCTCTGAGGAACCTGTGGTACAAGTTGTCAACCCCTTTCGGCAAAAGAGCAGTCAGCGATAGAGAATCCAAGCCATAACTGCGGAAAACCTTGAGCATCTTCCTCTGAGCGGAACGGACTGAAGGCTCCGAAGCGCATGCATGGGGCTACTACCCACATAATACGACAAACTCCCGGTGGAGAAACCCTACTTTGCATTACATACCTAGACTTCCCGACTTCCCCAATGCCCAAAAAGAGAACCCTAACCCTAAGCCATATACCCAAATGCTTTGGAGTTAAAGCCTAAACCCTCAAATCATCTTCATGGATACTTGGGAAGTCAAGTTAGATACTTAGGATACCTTTAAGCTACCTGGACCGTAAGCGGTTTAGGGTTTGGGGCGTTTGATTTCGGGTGTAGGACGTATGTAAATATAACTCCTGCATATCCGAGATGCCTATACATATATATGTACATACATATACATGTAAAATCTACTCCCCAGAAGACTTACTTTAGATTATATGTAGATACGGAGAACCCCATGAGATAATAGTCTCAGTTGTTGTGTACTTAGCTTTTTGCAAGCTCCGACCTAGGAATCAATGGCTCCTCAGACGGAAGTACAATATTCGTTTACTGTTTACTGTTTATGTTTTAGGGTGTAGGGCTATTAGTGGAATCTCCAAACATTGTGGACTAGTTCCCCAATAGTGGAACATCAAATGAGCAAACACATGAAATGTGAAATGGCAACCGGGATCATACAGTGCCTTTTGGGGATTAGGGTTTCAAATGCACACCGCCAAGAAGCCATAGAGCTCACGGCTTTCGGGGCTAGGACAGGATATTGCCGGGTTCTAAATAACTGCCAGTCGCATGTTGAGGTCCTATTGTCCTATTGGAGGTACTGTGTACCATCATCATGAAAACATGCCATTGGTAGCTACTGACGGCTTTACAGTACAGTGTTTCGAGTTTGACGAGCGTGGGTTGAGGGCTTATGGTTTAGGATTTAGGCTGTGCATATCAGGTGGGTCAGGTGCTTTGACCCGATTTCAGCGATATGGAGCATATAGGCAGGGGTTTCCCACGCCCCCCATGATAATGATTATAATATTGTGGGGTCTATATTGGGTCGCCTACTTAGTGAAACTACCATGTGATGTGGAGTAGACTTCGGGGCTTGTTGGATGCCCGGAACTTGACGACGCTTTGCATTTCCAACGGAACTATGCGTACATGTGTCTTAATTAGCCAGCAGTGCTAGGGCATGAATACTTATCCAAACCATAAACCAAAAGTGAGCTGCTAAAACAAGAGCTGGTGGGCCTGCAGGTCCCTCACCCTCCTGCTGCTGCTGCACCAGGAAAGCTGGTGGTGCCTTAGCCTTGGGTGTAGGCTCCAGCTTTCGCTGCTTAAGCTGCTGCAGCTCTGCTTTTGCCTGGGCCAGCTCCTCCTCCAAGCCACCAAGCTTCTGCTGCAAGGAGCCCACCTCTGTCTGCAGCTCAGACCTACTGCTGCTCAGCTCGGACAAGTCCCTTTTCAGCAGAGCCAGCCTTTTCTTGTTGTCCTCATAGTGGTTGTGGTAGGTCTTGTCCAAGCTGTAGAGAGCTATTGCTGGGATGGCATGCTCTGAGTTGTACTTTTGGTTAGCTCCCATACAGGGTGCTAGCTCTAGATACATAACTATAACTCTCAAAACTCTAGTTCATGAGAGATGTACAACGATACCTTTCCCAGTTATAAGTATATGAGCTATAGTCCGAACTCCTAGTATCCCCCTTAATAAGCCCTATAGTAATCCTCTATATAGCCTCCTATATAACCCTTGAAGGACTTTAGACTCTACCTCATATAACTTAGCACCCAAAGTGTTATAACCTAGGGCCCCCTCCCCGTACTGGGTTGCTGTTAATAATAAGGAACTTAACTTAACTTACCATACGGAGGAAAACCTATTATTTACTATATATATATATATACCCAGCATGGTAACTTAATTAAAGTTCCTCAACAGCAAACCCTAAAGCCTGAAGCCTAAACCCTAAACCCTACACCCTAAACACTTAAGAGTGCCCGGCCTGCTTCTTCCCGTGCAAGGAACTCGCCCACTACATCGTTCATGAGCCGCGGGTCATCAATCCTTGTCGTGGGTTGATTTACAACACCAGGGATGAAGGGGGAGGGGGTTTAGGGTTTGGGGTTTAGGCTTTAGGGTTTAGGATTTAGGCTTTAGGGTTTAGGCTTTAGGGTTTAGATTTAGGGTTTGAGTTTAGGCTGTAGGGTTTATGGTTTAGGCTTTAGGGTTTAGGATTTAGGGTTTAGGGTTAAGGGTTTAGGATTTAGGGTTTAGGCTTTAGGGTTCATCCTTGCCATGGGTTGGTTACCCAGGTTCCCTCAAGGATCCAAACGATGGAACCTCCCAATGATCCCCTAGCTTCCCCCGTGTGAGCTATTGTCTAAGTTCCTAGTATCCCCATTAGTAAACTCTTTAATAGGAACACTATACAATCCCCGATATAGCCCCCTTTAAGGAATTTAGACTATTAATGGCTCGCGTAGTCATGGATGGTCCATTTGTTGGATCCTTTAGGGTGTCTGTGTAACCACGTCACGGATGAAGGCTAGGGTTTAGGGTTTACCTGAACCCCAAAAGTAGGTAAAATAATAGCCCCAAACACCTAAATCTAGCCCAAAAGGCCATTAGTCTACACATTTTTGGGGGTTCAGGTAGGCTTTAGGGTTTAGGCTTTAGTTTAGGCTTGGGCTTTAGGGTCTAGGGGGCTAGGTAGGCATACTTCGAAATAATCATTCTATCCAGAATCTACCATGCCTAACATAAGATATTACCTGGCCTTTGTTTGGATTTTTTCCTACCCAGGTCAAACTGGAGTATCCAAGCCTGACCCAACCACAAACTCTCGTTTCGGGTTGTGGGTTGATGCTCCAACACCCAATACCGAAACCATGAACCCTTAAACCGCCTGCTCCTAAAGACCCTGATCTTGCCGAAAGACATCGAGCAGTGCCCCGATCGCGGCATCATCGACTTCCAAACATGCGGCAGGTTGCGATAGAGTGCGTCCACCACAGGTGGGCGCATGGTGTCATAGCGACCATGGGTCAATAGCACCTGAGTTCATGCGGATTTACAAAAAAGGTGGGTCCCTCTGTATATACCCTCACAATGTAGTATAATCAACAATACAACGCTCTTTCAAAACGATACCCTCCCCCCCGCCGGATTTGTACTTCTAACTACAGGGACTTCAAAACAAGTACCTCCAATTTGGGTCTCATCCCGCTGAGGCTTCAGGCATGCAATCCACTATAGTTTGGGATTTGGGTTTTGGGGTTTAGGGCTTGGGGTTGGGGAGCTCCTCTCATTCACGGTTGGCGCCCTAATTTACATGAAGGCGCTGGGTTCTCTATCTCGTGCAGCCGTGGTGTGTAGTTGAAGTGGCCCAGCACGCCCGAAAAGACGAACTCACCTGGTGAATGCACACCGTGCGAGCTTGGCAGCATGTCTAATACCGAAAAGTCATATGCAGGGCTGGCCTCTCCAAACAGACTTCAATCAAATTTAATGTTCACGTTGTTGCGTGGCTGAGATGGCTAAAACTGATCACATCTCAATTTGTTGGGGCTTACGCCTGGCGTCGAACACGCGCAGGACTTACTTAAAGATGTCTTACTCTGCCCATGGGTCCCTTTGCTGCAGCTCGGCGTTTCCAACAAAATGCTTAGAGACTCCTGTGGCATGGCAACTACGGACTGGTACATAGAATTGCCGCGGGGACCAAACCCTAAACCCTAAA